TATATATATTTGTTTTAATAGAATAATTTAATTTATAATTTAAATTTTTGCTTCATTTAATTTTTGTATTAAATTATATTTAATAGTTTTGAAGTTTTCAAAGGTAATTAATCTTATTTATATTTTCTTTCAGCTCCAAAAGCACCAGAAAATGTAAAAGTTATTTCATTTGACAATTCTTCTATGTATCTGTCATGGGATTTTCCATCAGAATCATTAGTAAACTATTTTATTATCAGATATCATCCTTCAAATTCTTATATTTGGAGTAATTCAGGTAGGAACACAAAAATTTTGATAAACTTTGAAGTTTTTATTTAATAATAATGATAATTTTTTAATATAAATATATATACAGTGGAATATATAATTTATATATATTCCACTGTATTTTATATATATTTATATACTGTCTTTTGTATGTATAAATTATAATATATATATGTTTCTCAAGAGACAGAATGACTGGACAAAAAACTAATAACTAAAAAGACATATTCAGGTCTGGTGCAAGCAATTACAACTATTGTAATATTGATAATAAATAATTGAATTGTAGTGTATTTTATTACAGCATCTTTAAACAAAGCACAAATGAATCCATTTTAACAAAAATAAAAAAAATTTAGGCTCAGTTTTCAAAAATGTATACATGTAGCCCTCGGTTTATGCCGCAGTTCCGTTCCTACAAAAGCTGGCGCAAATTGAATTGGCATAAAATGAATCCATATTTACAGTGAGGTATAGGGTTAGGTTCTACATAAGTAAAAAATGAGCAAATAATTTTGTTTATTAATACAATATAATACAAAATACATATATTATAAATTTGGTTTTTAAAATATATTTTATGATAAAATAAAGTGAAATGTTTTTATTATAAAATCTTAAGAAAAACAACTGATATTTCAAAGTTTCGGATCTCTTACATTTTTCGAAGAAAAGTATCCATCTTTAATTGTTTAGATTTTTGTTTTCTTTCATTAAGAATTTCGGAATATAGTCGAATGGATGCGATGATGCTCCTTTTTACATTTCCACTTCGCTCCCAATTGTTGTCTAACTCACAAAGTTTATCCCTCAAACTTTCCATAGTTAAAAGGATAAGCTAACCCGACATAGAGCTACAGACAAGCGGAGATGCTGATTGGTCGGCCACCGGCCGCCATAGCTCATATATAATGTCAGTTTGGGCTGGAAATTGAAGTTGGTTTTGTCTTCCTAAGAAGAGTTAGATATTGTCTGACCGACAAGAAGTAGATTTCGTCTCACTAATGATAGTTTGTGATCACCGGAAGTGCTACTGTGTCGTAAGGTGCCTGAACAAACTGATATGGGATACAAACTATTCGCATTCATTAGTGCTCTGGATTTGGATGCCGTTTATTGGACTATTAAGTTTAATAACTTGACTCGTGGGTACCTAAACATTCAGTATTTTAATATTAATTTAATGCAAATGTATACATACCCATTAATATTAAACAGAGAAAATAGAGATCTATATATATAAAAATGAATGTATGTCTGTCTGTGTGTCTGTGTGTCCTATGTCCTTCATGCATTACCACACCGTTTATCCGATTGCCATGAAACTTTGGGAAGTTGTTTAATATACTCCGGCGAAGGTTTGTGGCATAGTACGATTGCCATGAANTAAAAGGATAAGCTAACCCAACATAGAGCTACAGACAAGCGGAGATGCTGATTGGTCGGCCACCGGCTGCCATAGCTCATATATAATGTCAGTTTGGGCTGGAAATTGAAGTTGGTTTTGTCTTCCTAAGAAGAGTTAGATATTGTCTGACCGACAACAAGTAGATTTCGTCTCACTAATGATAGTTTATGCTCACCGGAAGTGCTACTGTGTCGTAAGGTGCCTGAACAAACTGATATGGGATACAAACTATTTGCATTCATTAGTGCTCTGGATTTGGATGTCATTTATTAGACTATTAAGTTTAATAACTTGACTTGTGGGTACCTAAACATTCAGTATTTTAATATTAATTTAATGCAAATGTATACATACCCATTAATATTAAACAGAGAAAATAGAGATATTTAATAAAAATCTTTATTTTAACCAATGTACAATGTCACGGCTCAGTAAATATGTCAACACTGAAACGAAAATCTGTCTAGCATCTAGCATAGAGAAAATTGGGGAATTACACAGAGAAATGGCAAATTGTGCAGCGGCATTATTGTGAATCAATGTAAATTGAACAGGCATAAACTGAGGACTACCTGTATTTCATAATTCAAGTTGCTGACTTGTGGCTTCGTAAGTATTATTTTGGTAAATATAATTTAAAAAATGGCTCTTTATGAAAAAAGGTTGCCAACTCCTGGCCTAGGGGCATCAAGATATGGGGGTGCCAGCCTTATACATAAATGAAGACAAGATAGATCATTAAATCTTTTTGATTTTTTAATTCTAGCAAAGTACTGTTTAATTTAATGCTAAAATAAATATTATTTGAATATTATAAATAAATGCACTTTAATATTAATTTAATTTATTTGTACAGATTCTCAGAAATAATAGCAAGGCAAATTCCAGAAAGTACTTCATTAGATGTCCTGTCATACATATGCAAAAATAATGTAGAAAATAGTGTTCCAAATGTGTTTATTGCTCTGAGAATTTTTGTGCATTGCCAGTATTGGTAGTAAGTTCAAAAATAAGTTTTTCAAAATTAAAACTTGAAATCGTGTACTTGCGGTATGATGGCTCAGGAATGATTGACTAGTCTAGTAGTATCATCTTTAGGGCATTTATTTCATGTACAATTGATGTAAATGAATTAATTTAAAATTTTGCTGAAACAAAAGCCCAAAAACTTAATTTTTCACTTTTATAGTGACATAGGATCTTATGGAATGGACCCAACAGTATGTAAAAACATGATGTTAAATGATTGGAACTGATCTCATATTATTTCAGCTGTTTCTAACTCATATATATAGATGTTAAATGATATGAAGTTATACAAACATCTCTAAACTGATATATTATTAATAAGCCAAACTGGATTACATCAGGTCGTTTTTTCTGTGATTATTTTAAATTAATTTCTAAATAATTTGTCACTAGAGGGAGGCATTAGGCACCATTTCCAGTAATCGTTGGATATAAACCAAAGCATTTGAAATGTTTTAATCCGTAACATCTAAAATTAAATGATTTGAATAGATCTATAAATGAATTGATTTTTAATGTTGTATTAACAAGTCCACTGATATCATCTTATATCTACTGTATTCCTATAATTTTGCATCATTTTATTTGTCAAATGATGTCATTTGATATTTCTATTAGGAAAATATTTATTTATATTTTACATATGTAAATATTTATTTAAACAGTAAGATTAGTGATATAAAAAATAAAATTAATTTTATTTTATTTTCATTACTATGAACTCAAAATAATAATTTGTTTTTCAGAACAGACTAATACTACGAGATATGAAATAAAAAATTTGACAGCTGGAGAAGAATATGAAATTGAAGTGACATCTGCAAGTGGTCACAGTGAAAGTGTTCCGATAAAATTGAAACAGACTTTATGTAAATAATATTTCTTGATAAATATTAATTTCAATATCAAAATTATCTAGAAATTAAACATATCAATTGGGATAAATTTTTATTTTATTAAAATCTTTGTTTTATAATCAGTTAATTAAGAATCTCACTTTGATGATGTTCACTCTTAGCATCATCCAACTGAATTTCTTAACTGATTGTTTTCATACTTGTGTAAGCTATCATTATTTTATAATGTTATAATAGCAATGGCTTTATCTCCATCCAACTTGTAGACCCTCCATGCCACCAAGAGGGCATTAATATTGTTATAATTGATGGAAAATGTATAGAGCTTCCAAATAGCATATGTGATTTTTATTTTCAATACTTTAAAAAAATTTGTCTTTAAAAATGACCAAGCACATTCATAATTAAATTGTGTTTGTTGCTTACAAAGATTTCATGAGTGTCTAAATTTTTCAGTCACAATTTCATTAATTTTAGTCCAAGCCCTCTCACCACTGGAGACAATCCTTGTAGACATGCCCAATATAGGTTGATTGCTTGGGGTTTTTCTCATCTTTCAATTTGTTATAGGATGTCAAGCAATTCAATTCAATTCAGTTCAATTTTTATTGCCGTACAAAAGAAATACAACACCAGTACTGCATAGAGCACAACCGGTAACAAGCGCTAATACAAAAAATACAAATATGATAAAAAATACAAAATACATAAAATACAAGTGTTACAAATAAATTGATTATACAGAGAAAGTAGTATCATAAAATATAGTGCAGGATACAAAGTATGCATTGTTGGTTAAAATATCAAATTAATTGTACAATCGATAGAGTTGTAGATAGCATAAGATACAAGGTATATTAAATACATAAAATAAAGAATTTTGTACATAAAATCTGTATTAAATCAGGACAAATTTATATAATTAGGAGATACAAAAAACTACAATATAGTAAAATACAATACAAGAAAATTATTATGTACATTACCAGGTACCGGCAAGGCTATGCCTAAAGGGTTGACGGAGGAAAGCATGTCAGCACAGGAAGAACAAGTTCAGAATGTAGATGATGGGGTGTAGCCCAAGCGATGAGGATCAAGGAAAAGTAGTGGAGGAATGATGATCGACGAGATTGTAGTACTGGGTGACCCAGCTGGGCAAAGTAGGTGTAGGTAGTCTGGTCATTAATCAGATCGTTGAGGCTGTATGGCCATTGGATGACTCTAGAGTTAATAATGGTTTTAAGTTGTAGCTGTTCAGCCTCAAGCATTGGGCAGTAAAAAATATAGTGAGTAGCCCCATCCTGAATATCAGAGAGGATAGGTAGGGTGATGAAACTTCAACGCGAAATAGGTTAATAGCAATATAATAATATACTAATTACATGAGACATAGTAATATGCTATACTAATAATGTATTTTTTCATATTTTTCGGTTATCCGTTTATTCAGTTATCCAACCAATCCCAGTCCCCAATTGAATCGGATAATCGATGCTTCACTGTATAAAAACATATTTTTGATACATTCAGTGAAGGCTTGTACTCTGTTCAGAGTCACAATATACAAGAAATGTTTCATTATTCTGGTTTGTGATATCCTGAAGATGGTTGAAATGATGCTGAAAACATTGACTAGCATAATATTTACTACATCTAAAGTTGTACTATTTTACTTTGTAATCAGGCAAAAGCACCACTTTGTAAAATATACAAGAATTAAATAGATTAAAAGTTAAATGTGAAACATGATATAACAAGGATCATTCTCTTCCCTTTGTCACATTGTGTCACATTCTGAACTATAGTATTCCCCTATCCCAGGGGTCGGCAACCTTTCAACAGTGTTGTGCCAAACATAAGTTATAGTGTTATTCCAAGTACCAATGTGGTTCTACCAAGTTTATTATATATGTTATCAAAATTAGTCTGGTTATAACAGATTTCAAAAATGTATAATTTTGTAGTTAAGTTGTTAATTGAATTATGTTCTTACATGTAAAGCACTTGCATAACACGTAGATGACAACATTGAGCATAAATGCATACTCTGTAATAGAAATATACAAACAAGAGATTTGTTTTTAATGTACCACGGCCTTTGCTGAACTATGACTTCTATTTAAATGTGTAATTAATAAATAAAATAATTTTTACTACATTTCTATTCATTCAGAGTGCCACTGAAAATTGTCCTGCATGCCATAGATTGTTGACCCCTGCTCTATCCCATGAGATGTGACATTATTTATGGGCAGTCCCAGACATGTGTAGGTTTTGTTAGTATCAAAGTGTGATTCTTTTTTTCCCTCCCCCTTCCTCTTTGTTGATCTTATAAAAGCTAAATTGGTCATTTTTAATTTATTTTCAATATTAATTTCAATTAGCATATTTTTCTTTTAGTTTTTTTCTTTATTTCTTTTTACTTTGCATTTGTTATCATTTGAAGCAACCCTTTAACATTGGCAAAATATATCTTCTTCATTAATTTTATTATATAGTATTAACTCAAATCTGAATATTGTAAAAGTTTTTATTTTTTCTCAATTCAAATTTGTAATTTTTAAATGAAGAAATATTTGTCAGTTTCTGATGGACTACAGTTGTGTACACAAGGCACTGTATCATTTGTGATATTTTCAATTTTTAAACTGTGCTTGTTACAATATTTTAGATGTTTATTGTGTTTAATACTATATGTCTAACCTTTAATGGGCCAATGAGAGATTTGAGTACCCAAAACATATTCCCTATATTAATTGAAGCTATATGTGAGTGATTTGTATTTGGTCATTTAGTGATTGTATTCCTTCTCATCTTGGTGTGATAAGCTCTTTTAATTATAGCCATAGCTAATAGGTTAACCGTGTAATGTATAGTTAATTTTGGAGTTAGAAGTGTACTTAATTTAGTAATTTTGGTTTATTCTACTAGTAGCTGAAGATGATCTAAATTAAGGCCAAAAATATTCTGAATTAAATATATTTTTGGTAACCTCAAATTTAGCATATTTTTTGTTTTGTTATTAAATGTAAGTTGCTTAATTTTGATGTTTGTAGAGATTTTATTATAACTTTCATTTGTATAATGTTTTTACATCCAATCAGTTATAATACAATGAAAACTAAGAATGATTTAACTTTTAATCAAAATTTTTATTGAGGAGTTCACTATTAAGAGTATAATTTTTTGAGTATAGTATTTTAATTATTTTATCATATTATTTTCAGATCCTAATTCAATTGAAAATGTTAAAGCAATTATTGATGCTTATAATGTAACATTTAAATGGGCACCTCCAGAAGGCGAAATAGAGTTTTATGAAATACTTTATCAACCTGTTAAAAATAATTCAGAACAAAAATCACAAGTAAGATTTATTTCTTGTTATGCAAATATATATCAATACTTATACTTTATGCATTTGAAATAGAACACAAATTTTAATTTTTTACATAATTATAATGTCTTTAAAATATAATTTATTTTTAGATTACCATGAAATGTAAAATATATATAATACTTATCTTTAATTATATTTATTTAGTTAAATATTTTAATATAATTGGACTCTGCCATATATATATATGAAACCAATATAAGTGTTTTAAGTGTTTTTTAACTAATTCATATAAAACAGTGAACCCAAGTAGTTATTAATTTAATTATTTCCTATACTAACATCCTGTCACACATTTATTTGTATAAATAAGACAAATAAACACTATATTAACAATAAATAGCATAATATCATAAATTATAAAAACAACTTTAAAAAATTTTCCAAAGCAGACTTTTTCTTTTCTCTCTAAATGTAAAATTTTAATTTTTTTTCTAAACTAGGCACTTAACAGTTTTTCTTTGGCCTATCAGAGCTATCAGGATCACTACCCTTGCATTTGGAATAGGGTTTGCAAAGTAATTAGCATAAATGAAAACAAAGAGAACTGCTAATGTTATGCACAGACAATGGGATACAAGTGAGAATTTCAAACAAAGAGTGAAGATACTGGGATTTTCTGTGCAAAAGAAAGAAATTAGTTATATGAATACTTTCCCAGAATGAGAAGTAGAGATTTCATGCACTTGAAAAAAATGGTTTTTTTAACAATTTATATTTTCAGTTCCAACCCTAAAGATGGCATATAGAAATAGGTTGAAAACATTTGCAAAAACAGTTGAATAAATAATTTTTCACAGCAAACATTAGGTGCTATAGTACAATTGTTATATCTCTCTGCTGAGTGTGGATTATATTGTAAACATAAAGCTATTTTTATTTTAGCTTGTTATAATAAGTATGAAATTTTATAGTTTCATAAAATTTATGAGAGTAAGAGAGAAACATTTCAAACTAAGTTTAGCATGATCTAAACTAGTCATGAGCAACTTACAGTCTCCATATGATCGGTGAGGTCATAATTTACAGTCCCCGGGGCTTTGCAAATATAATTTTATTTTCTTGTTTTCTGCTGTGTTCTTATTATGCAACTATTAGTTAAGTCAATATTTGCAACAATGTTAAAACTAAATTTGGTCGGTAAAAAGATGATGATAAACAATGTATCAGTAGTTTGCATATGATTAGCATATATTATTTTAGTAACTAGTCTCTACAGGAAATGGAATATGTTGGTACTTGGCAGGCTTAAAGCCTGCAATGCCACAAGAGAAAAGTGCCTGAAGCCACTAGAAAAATATGAAGTTCACTTGCAATTCACATCCAGAAGCAGTTGTTCATCACTAATTTAAACGTTAATAGTTCTCTAACAGTATGAAAAGAATAAGTAAAGTTTTTTTATTTTGAGTTATTTAATTTTATAAAATAAAATATATTATTTAATAAAATTACCTCTTTCTCAGTACTGGAACAAATTAACAAACACATTTAACCTTTAACTTTCAGTAACAAAAATTTTTAATGTAATTTCTGACAAACATTTTTGACCTTAACGAAGGTCTGCATCAGGTCATAAACTGTATTTCAAAATTGGAATGCACAGAACAAAAATTTTTTCAATATATTTTTATTAATTAAAACAAAAACATAACGTTGTAAAACAACAACAAATTAATCGGTGATAAATATAAAATTAAACAAGAAATAAATATAAGAATTAAAATAATATAAAATAATAATAATTTATTTTGGAAATTTCTGGTTTTTTGTACAGTGGGTGATCGGTTAACGAACATAATCCGTTCCAAGACTTTGTTCGCTATCCGAATTGTTTGTTAACCGATTATCGATTTACCATAGGTTTCTATGGGAATTTGATTAATTCGTTCTGGAGACCCCAAAAGAATAAAAAATATATACTTTTTTACTAAGTTTATTCATATGTAATAATAAAAATACATATATACATGGTCTTGCATTTTTATTAGTCATGTTTTTTCCGTTTGTGGGGGTTAAAGAATCTGTCCAATGTCGATTGCTTTTCTGTCTTCATGATTTTTCAGAAGTAATTAATAGCATTGTAATTGTAGAGATCCCTAGGCCTATTAACCTCAGCCTGGTTTGGATGCCATTTTGAGACCGTTGTTCTGACATCCTCCCACTTCTTCAAAAGATTTTTAATAGCAGATATTGTCATAAATCCGCATTTTCAGAAGAAAACGTAAAAGAAATGTTTCTGTCAGAAATATAAAAGGCTGGAATTACAAGGGAGAGTTTCAAAGTTCGGGGGAATACTATCTGATCAGCATATACAGAATAGAACGTCGATGTCAACGTCTCCCACACTCCGAAAACTTTCAAATTGTTGCCTGAAGGCAAAGGAAGACCAATCGGTATTCGTTATTTTACGTCGCTTCATCTTGTGTTTGTTCAGTGAAGTGTTCGTTGTCCGATCATAAAAATCTTTCGCGAAAGTGTTTGTTATCCGATTTGTTCGTTAACCGATCACCCACTGTAAAAGCATTGCCCAACATATAGGAAGCTTTACGTCTTTAAAGTAAATACAGTTGCCAGTCACATTAGCCTTGTATATTTCCAAGGCTTCTAGAGCCCTGACGTGATCAGTTTGAAATTATTGCTTAATTAACATGGCATTCTGGAGATCGGCTTGCACGTCTGTCTCAGTGGTGTTAAATGGACAGGGTGGTAGTATGTCTTTTATTGAAAATGTAACAATGTACCTGCAACCTTTTGTGTATGAAATGCTTAGTGGACCTAATGTATAACATATATCTTTGGATCTGTTCCTCACAGGAACATTGTACACCCCTGAGACCCTATGTTCATTTCCCTATGAAAATTTTTTACATTAAAAATTTTTGTTACTGAAAGTTAAAGGTTTAGTTAAATGTATTTAATATATTTTATTAACATATTAACTTTCTATGTAGATTTTGAATAGTGACACAAAACAAGGAGATGAAATAAATACTATCATATACAATTTGAAGCCTGGAGAGTTGTATAAATTTCATTTTTATGCTGTCAATCATAATTTGAAAAGTAAAAGTTATCAAAAAGTGATAAGAACATGTAAGATCCAAAAATTAATAGTAAAATATTTCATTTTTTATTTTAGTTGTTATGTGTAAAGAAAGTAGTTTAATTTATTAATTCAAAATTTTCATTTTAGTACCTGTAATTGATTCTGTGATCAATATTGTAACTGATGAACACACAACAAGAACGCTGGGCATCAAATACACTCCAACTCCTACTCGAAATGTAGTGTTTGATCGTTACAGAATACAACTGAATGATGAATCTGTACCTGCAAAAGAAAACTCTTTTGATGATCCAAACAGGCTGATTAAATTTCATGATCTGGAACCTGGTCGATTATATAATATTAGTATCTGGACAATTAGTGATAACATTAGGAGTATTCCGATTCATAGACAAGCAAGACTGTGTAAGTTTTCTTTTCTGTTGTTTTCATACCTTTTGTGCAAACTATTAATAAAAAAACAAACAAAATGTGTTGTTTTTAAATTGCAATATCTTGCTTGAAAATCGCAATAGATTCAATCTGTTTCTGTTTTTAATCACAAACATATTACAGTTTACAATTGTTACAAATTTAAAATAATAATCAAATTTTAAATTTTACAAAAAAAAAAAACAAGAAAAAAAAATAAGTAATTTAAACAGATTCAATGAATTTTTTACATTAGTTACTTACACATGTTTTTTAAACAAAACAAATTTCAGCCGCAGCAGTTCTAGCTAGAGTGGGAGAGAAGTTTTAACCATATTTTAGATTATTTACGCTACATCTCTAATTGCACTCTTGGGAGGGGGTGGATGAGTCATCTGCGGGTCAAAGTTAATACAAGTTTTCTTTGAGATAATTTATAATAAACATTATCTTTCTATTTTACAATTAATGTCTGTAAAAACGGAAAATAGCCAATTAAAGTTTAGAAGGAGTTTTCCTTAGATTGTTCTAAGCCAATTGTACAGATAAATGCATCTAATTGCTGTAGAATGGTAGGGGATGTCTTTCCCAAAATATTTATGGCCTGGGGGAGGTAACAAAACAACAATTATTGCTTAAAACAGGGCTTCTTAAACTATGGGTTGCGACCCCATTTGGGGTCGCTTAGCGAAATCTTGGGGTCGCGCAATTTTAATGCAAAATATTGAAAATAATTTGTGAGAGTTTGAAAATGGCATGCTTTGTGTCACTTCTGGTGCAGCGAGACGACGATTCAGCAACATTGATTGTAGTGTGAACAGTGTGTAGTATTGTCGCTTTTCAGTGTATTCAGTTGTCACTGCTCTATTGTAACACAAGAGTGAACTGTGGTAGTATACCATTATTGTTTTTGCAAATTTGTATACTGTATATCTTGATTTTATATTTTTTGGGGGGGGGGTCGCGAAAAAACTCACAATCATAAATGGGGTCGTGAATAAAAAAAGTTTAAGAAGCCCTGGCTTAAAACAAAGTCAATCCATCAACAGGAGAACAAATCAAAGCTTAAATTGTTGAAAACTAGAATTAATCATGAATTAATTCAATTAGATTAATCTAAAAATTCAATTAAAATCAAATGACCTTAACATGTTATGGTGGATGGTCGCACAATAAAGGTTAATTAATGAATTAATATGATTCAGTGACCAGGGGTGAATGGGCCATTGGGAAATTGCCAGAAGTGCCGATAGGACTGGTCCCTTTACATTCATAGGGGCTGTCAACAGTCCTTATATTTTTTCCACTGCTTCAAAGAAGTTTAATCCATCCATGTGCTGAAATAAGGGTGTGTCCTATATGCCCATGCATATTATGTTGTAAAATATGTTAATTGATGTCTCAAAGAAATCTGGGTCTATATAAAAATCCTTCCACAACCTTCTTACTCATCTTGTTTTAAATTCACTAGAAACTGTTGCATTAAATGAAAAATATTTAGTAAAATAAACTTTGTCACCAGGGACAGCCAAAAATTTATATGTACAGTTGATTCTGTTTAATTGGGCCACCAGTTAATTGGGGAAGCTGTTTTTTTGGGCCTAATCTCAAAGAACAGAAACCAAACTAATAAATATTACATAATTTAAATGCTTAATTGGGACAATAGCATTTAAAAAAGGAATTTAGCAATTTTTGATATATTTTAGGGATCTTCTGAAAATCTGTCAACACTATGTACACTAATGTTGTGTAGGCCTAACGGTTGGTGGAGACAAAGCAATTTTGTCTTTTGCTTGGGTGGTATGGTTTTTCTGGAGGGATCAGCATAGCGGGACGTATCATACCGGGATCCCATCTGAGGCAGACCTGAATATGAGCTACTGACCCTGCTCCAGATTGGACTGGAAATCCCATTAAAAGCAAAGGGACAAAGACACCTCCCAGACAATTTTTCGAGATCTCTCAATTGAGTTGGAAGGCAGCTAGAGTTTCATTGAAAGGTGTTGTGTATGATTATGTCTAGACCCAGACAGCAGCCATCTGATCATTGGGACCAGCATCCAGAGCTGGCAGATTCTAGACACTCCTGCCAAAGTGGCTCATCTCCAAGTAAAGGAAACTGTGCTCAAAGAAAGATTGTAAGGTGATTTTTGGATGAACCTAGACATATTCTAACTAAAAACAAAGAAAGGAAAGATTGTTTGATCAGGAATGGATCAAATGGTCAACCCTTGTTTACATCTCTACTAATATTTGGCAACACTAGTGTGATGTGAATCAGTTATCTATTGTCGTGAGTCTGGCAAATTTATAGTACAGTCAACCCCCTATAATGCAGTAGATACGTTCCACTTGATAAGAATTTCACATTGTAGGAATCCTTAAATACATGAGCCAATCACAGCCCCGCACGTGTGCAGTTTACAGACTACGGCTGTTTGAAAGGTTTTCTTCCATAAAATTAATTGATTCTAGACTAATTTGACTCAGCATTTCCAAAACACGTATAATTTTTTGGGAATAATCCATATAAACTATGCTATAAACAAAAAAATTTCATGCAGGCTTTTCCTATTTCCTGAAAGCAAGTTCTGTTATTTTTTAATTTTTAACAGAAAATTATCCCACATTGCAAAGCAATGCAAATTGTGGTGTATGCAATAGAATCAATAGCAATCATAATTGTAATACTTTTCAATATCAAACAAAACACACACCAGGTTCTGAATAATATATTTAGTAATTAATAACTTTCTTTTAATCCTTTAATTTTCCAGATCCCGAACCAATAAAGGAGGTGTTTCCAATTAGAATTACAGATACTGAAATAACACTAGGATGGGATGAACCTTTGGGAGATAAAGATAGTTATGAAGTTGAATATCAAGATCATCAAGGACATTTAATAAGAAATGTTACAAATAATGAGCAAATATCGTACAAAAATATGAAACCTCATCATAATTATACATTTTTGGTAACAGTTATCAGCGGTTATAATACTTCAACCATAAAACGTAGTCGTCCAATTTCTCAAACTTATCAAACTCAAGAATCTGGTACGTTATCATAATATATGTCTCTCCATTTTGCATTTAAAATCAAAATGTTAAGCCATTTAAAATATGTTATAGTACCTGGAAAAACTCACAAGTTTGATACTATCAATATTAAACCTAATGAAGTTACATTGAGATGGATTCTTCCCGAAGATGAACAAAATGGAATAATTACTGGATTCAAGATAACATATTATGTTAAGGTACTATTTTATCATTATTTTAGAATGTATTGTACTTTCAGATATATATACACATACAGATGAGCCCAGTGTTGCTTGGAAAAAAAATACCAACAACAAAGATTAAGGTTATTAGATTATTTCAAACTTCTAACAGTTCTATTATATCATATTGTAGTATTTGATTAATATAACTACAAACGTTATCTCATGTAAGGGTTTATCATACTGAATGACCAATATAACACATTTTAAAAATTATTTAAATTGGTACAGTAGAAGAATAAAGAATTTTTAAAATGTGTTAGATTGATCACTCACAAGGAAACTGTTGGAGTGTCTTTTAATAAATTTTAATAAAATTCAGTTAATAAATACATTAAAAGTATACAAACTCTATATATTAAATTTGTAGTATTCACTAAAAGTGTTAATCATAGTTATTAGCAATCAAATGTCATACTATTTTATAGTGGTTTAACATAAATATGCAAATTTTTAGTAGTGAAAGGGTCGCTTAGGAAGATAACGATACATTAATATCTCCATTATCGTTGGCTTTGGTTGATTTTTTTTTGCAAAAAATTTGTATTATCACGCACTATTATGGTTTCGTCAGCTAACATTCAGAATGCGTTATGGCTTTTCTTAATCATTGTAATGTGTAGTGGTCAAATATACCAGGTAATGAAAGCCATGATGCAAATTTCACTTTGTGGTCTTTTTGAGTTAGTCACAATGTGTTGTAGCTGTTTTTACAAGTGCCACAATGTGTTGTGGATGATTTTTTGCTCAATGAGCATTTTTGTTGTTTAGCCTAACATATATATAAATACAGTGGAATGCATTGGAATCAAGGTTAACTTTTTAAGGTCTGAAAACTCACTCTATTTCTGTTGCTAATGACTAAATTGTTTTTACCCTACAGGATAAAGGGAAACTTGTATAGAAATACTAGTCTAACAATTTTTCAATTGGCCAATTTTGACCAATATCATGCTTAGAGTTAATCTTTTTTCACTTTTGTTATAGTTACAGAGTACTACCTCTCTTCAAAAATTATAATTACATGATTCCTTTTCCTTCTGTCTTCTAGGTTTAATCTTCTTTATATGGATGTTTTATTTTGCTGTCTGCATTTCATAATTCTGCAGTTTCATTTCCTACACTTTCATCAGATTCTTCATATGCTATCATGTTCATAAATTAACTCCCAATTGTGCAAAATTTACCTCTATAACTTACACTAGCTAAACCAATTAATAAAATTAATTGTATTTATAGATAATTATAAGGAGAGTAATACTTTAACTTAAACATACTTTTAACACATCAACTGTTTTAGTTATTTTTACATCCGAAAATTATTACACCATTTGTACATCACTTGATTTTTTTGCTATTAGGAGGAACAACAACAGTAAAAAATATAATGTCCAATACTTTCCAGCTTTAGCATTAAGTAACTTCACTGCACAGGCTATTTTTATCTTACTGGCAAATAAATTTTGAAATGGATATAAACTTGCCATATTCAAAATAAGTTGTGCTAGTGTAATTTCAGTTTATCCTGCAGTCACAAAGTAACCCCAGTTTATGATACTTTTTATTTTGTTAATTTTTATAAAATAAATTGTATTATGTAAACTTATGATTTATTTATAATAATTTAATTGTAAATTTAGGGCTCTTCTCTTTTGCATCATGAATTATTTGACTCAACAGATACAAGAGGGATAATTGATAATCTCATTCCAGGAAAAATTTATATATTTCAGGTAATATCAAATAACTATTCTTATATTTTTAGTGTTAAAATTTAAATTTAAAATCAAAATGTTAATAGATCCAAGCACATACTAAAGTAGGACCTGGAGTAAAATCACAAATTGAATTCAAGACACCAATATGGGGTTAGTAAAATAACATCATTAAATTCATAAATGTATAATATAAATTTGTTTGTGTTTCTTATAAAACAAATTTTTTTCAGCTCCACCTTCTCCAGAAAATCATATTTTTCCTATTGAAGTAAGCCATAGCACGACTTCAATTACAATTAGATTTCGAAAAAATTTCTTTTCTGAAATATTTGGACCAATAAAAAGTTATGCAATTATTGTAGCAGAAGATGAAACAAAGAAATCAAATACATTACAACTTCCTTCTTGGAAAGATGTACAAGGGCAATCAAAGTGGCCACCATATCAAGTATGTTATGTTTGATGCTTTACACTTTCCTTAGATTTACTGTAGAGACTGATTTTTATTAAAATTTGTAATAAATCTTTAATAAGAAATAGTAAATAAACAAAAATATGTAAAGTATAACAGAAACTAAAAATTCAAAATTAATCTGTTCTTTTTGTTCCATGAATTAATTTAATGAAAACATGACAAAACTCTATGAAGATGCAGAATAGAGTTTTCATGGATGAACTCTATGAAAACGCTACTCCAAACTATGAAAACTATATAATCTTTGACCTTGTAACTATCACAGCTTATTTAGATAAATGGGAAATAACTACATAAAATTCAAAATGTAAATTTTGTAAATATACTATATCTGTGGTCATCAATGGTCTCATTTCAATTGCAAACATGTTTTTTTTTTTAACCTCAAAAAGTATTTGAGGTCTAAACATTATTTTTTTAGATCAATTTAAAGTTAGCAGTGTGCTAATGAAGATAAAACACATAACAGTTCATTTGTGTAAATACACAGAAAGTAATGAGATAGTGATAAACAGATAAAATATTGCTATTTCAATCTGCTCCTTAGAAAAACTTTTATACCATGTGTACATTATTGAAGCTATCTTGTTGGTTAGAAGAATACAGATTGCTTTTAGAGTATGAGGTTATAAATTAAATTCATTTTAGTTTTCTGGTTTTTATAACACAGGAGAGTCTTGTAGTTGTGTCAAATTTCACTTTCTGGATTTTCTGCAAATCTTGATATTTTGAACATTTTAAGGCCCCCTGTATACAAAAAAATGGGGAAAAATTCTCTCTCTCTGTGTGTGTGTGAGCTTGTCAACTCAAAAGGGAGATGTCTTTAAACTCACGTCAGGATGAACAAGGGGTTTAAAACTGTAGGTGGGTGGTTGTGTGGGAAAAATTTGATGCAAGGTACCTTTACAAAACGTTCTCATTTATTTGAAATGGAAAGTTGGCTTACATAATAAAAAAAACAAGGTTCCTTCTCTGATTGATGATTGTATGAAAGAGAGAGCTTGAGGAGCTTAACACAAATTATTATTGTATTTATTTTCAGACACTTGGCAATTTTTATCATCAAATTTTATTTAGTTGATACGTAGGTGATTCATTGACATGTGTTTGGCAGCCCCATGGCAGTGTGAAAGTTCATGCAAAAGTACATACACTGGCAAAATAAGACATAAAAATATAGTTTAACCCAATTATAATCGGATGTAACAACAATCCTAATATAATGTCAAATTTTTATCAGTCCTATGATTTTACTATACTAGATAATAACATTATATAGTATGAAACCCTGTTTTAATGTCATATTTAAAGCACTCCCAGATTTACAAAATTAGATTATGAATTTTATTTAACAAATATACTACGTGTTTAGTCCCTAGAATCAGAGTCCACTTCCTAGAACAACTATGGTTGGTACTCCCTCTCAGCACCTCGGTGGGGTGAGATTCACCACATCTTTAAATGACGTGACGATCAGTTAGTCTGCATAGTTACTCATGTTATTTCATAAAGATGCAGATATTGTTGAGCAAATTAAATCTTCAGACGAAAATAATGAGGATGATGAAGATGAAACATCAGACAGATAAAATGAAGTGCCATCAAGCATGTAATGCAATAACATTATTGAAAATGTTTTACAGATCTTGGAAAACTTCATTGGAAGTAATGAACAAAGTGTATGATTTAGAAAATAACATTGATAAACAATTTTTAGGTGAAAAATGCCTACAATCTAAAATAACTGACTTTTATAAGTGAATATTGGTATTGTCTTTTTAATTGGCATACATTAGTTTAACCATTAGTTTAACCGTTTGTTGCCTTTTGATCAACATTATTCATATATCAAAACTGATAGTGCCACCATTATTGAAACTTAAGACAAATATAAATTTCTTATAAAATTTTTTTCAAATTTTTAATTACATTGATGTACACTTAGACATAATAATGTAAATAAAGTTGATTTAAACATTTACTTTGCACTGTTATACATACGATAATAAATTATTATTACCATAATATAATAGATACAGTATACTGTATTACCATTAAGAAATAATTTTATGATAATACATATAAAATATATTTATTTTCATGTATAATGAAAAAGATTCTTTTGGATTCCAACCCTCTCAGTCACACAGTTATAATAATACAGCTTATGATGGTAATAAATGTTGGAAGATGATAATTAGCACATGGTTCGTGACAAACAAAAAAAATGTATTGATAATTCTGATAATAAAATTAACTATAACTAAGGCTTAAAAACTATCTTAATATTATGGAAGAAAGATATAGAAAAATACGAGAAAATAGGATTAGTAGAAAGTTGGGTACCCAGCCCTTGTGGAAATATTGGGTGTAATGCCAATTTTGGTTTTCTTGGGGAAAAATAGTCTCTCGTCTACAAACTTGTCTCGGTATCTTGTATAGAACTATATGATTCTATTTTAACTATGATAGAGTTACTCTCCGATGGTTTGGATCCTCTTCGTGTCTCCCATCACTGCTGAACCACGACTTTTTTATGTCCTTTCCTATCGACATCTTAACTAAGAGTGTCCGTTACTCCACACCTTAGCCCTCAGGGCCTCCTTTTTGTTCTTGAAGTAGTCATCAACACCCAAGGGGGAAAGGGTTAGAGAAGAAAATTCTAGAAGGAAATAGAACAATAGAACAAAGGGTAGAAAGAAAGACTAAACTAAACTTAAAAATATACACAAATTATGGCACACAAATCCACGACAGCGGATTGGCCAGCGATCATCGTGCGACCATCGTATGATCAGCGGACGTTCAATAGTGCTACTAAGCATTGATTGGTGGATCAGTGTTTGCTTCAATCCGTATAAAAGGATTGAATTTAGGCGGTAAAAATGGTAAAAATGTTATTTTTTTAAAAAATTGCTTAAAAATTAAGGTGCGTAGTAATTCAAACACAAATTATTATTGTATTTATTTTCAGGCACTTGGCAATTTTTATCATCAAATTTTATTTAGTTGATACATGTTGATATTATTTACACACGTTTTGGGCATTTATTCCCCCTCCTCAGCCAACTTTTTAATTTACAGGTTATCAAGATATTAAAACCACAAATTTCCATCGCCTATGTTTACTTGTTGTTATGGAATTACAAAAACTTCTTGGCCCTTAACACACTTTAATCTTGCAGTTTTTCAGTAAACATAGGCGATGGAAATTTGTGGTTTTAATATCTTGATAACCTGTAAATTAAAAAGTTGGCTGAGGAGGGGCAATAAATGCCCGAAACGTGTGTAAATAATATCAACACGTATCAACTAAATAAAATTTGATGATAAAAATTGCCAAGTGCCTGANTATAATTTATTTTTAGATTACCATGAAATGTAAAATATATATAATACTTATCTTTAATTATATTTATTTAGTTAAATATTTTAATATAATGGGACCCTGATATATATATATGAAACCAATATAAGTGTTTTAAGTGTTTTTTAACTAATTCATATAAAACAGTGAACCCAAGTAGTTATTAATTTAATTATTTCCTATACTAACATCCTGTCACACATTTATTTGTATAAATAAGACAAATAAACACTATATTAACAATAAATAGCATAATATCATAAATTATAAAAACAACTTTAAAAAATTTTCCAAAGCAGACTTTTTCTTTTCTCTCTAAATGTAAAATTTTAATTTTTTTTTCTAAACTAGGCACTTAACAGTTTTTCTTTGGCCTATCAGAGCTATCAGGATCACTACCCTTGCATTTGGAATAGGGTTTGCAAAGTAATTAGCATAAATGAAAACAAAGAGAACTGCTAATGTTATGCACAGACAATGGGATACAAGTGAGAATTTCAAACAAAGAGTGAAGATACTGGGATTTTCTGTGCAAAAGAAAGAAATTAGTTATATGAATACTTTCCCAGAATGAGAAGTAGAGATTTCATGCACTTGAAAAAAATGGTTTTTTTAACAATTTATATTTTCAGTTCCAACCCTAAAGATGGCATATAGAAATAGGTTGAAAACATTTGCAAAAACAGTTGAATAAATAATTTTTCACAGCAAACATTAGGTGCTATAGTACAATTGTTATATCTCTCTGCTGAGTGTGGATTATATTGTAAACATAAAGCTATTTTTATTTTAGCTTGTTATAATAAGTATGAAATTTTATAGTTTCATAAAATTTATGAGAGTAAGAGAGAAACATTTCAAACTAAGTTTAGCATGATCTAAACTAGTCATGAGCAACTTACAGTCTCCATATGATCGGTGAGGTCATAATTTACAGTCCCCGGGGCTTTGCAAATATAATTTTATTTTCTTGTTTTCTGCTGTGTTCTTATTATGCAACTATTAGTTAAGTCAATATTTGCAACAATGTTAAAACTAAATTTGGTCAGTAAAAAGATGATGATAAACAATGTATCAGTAGTTTGCATATGATTAGCATATATTATTTTAGTAACTAGTCTCTACAGGAAATGGAATATGTTGGTACTTGGCAGGCTTAAAGCCTGCAATGCCACAAGAGAAAAGTGCCTGAAGCCACTAGAAAAATATGAAGTTCACTTGCAATTCACATCCAGAAGCAGTTGTTCATCACTAATTTAAACGTTAATAGTTCTCTAACAGTATGAAAAGAATAAG